GAGTGAAATTTTTCTCGTCATTTTTTAATAATAACTTGATCGTGCGAGTGTAACTAGATGGTAAGTTTATTCTTTCGTGAATTCGCGTTTCAACGCGTTTCTTTACAACGTTATCGAAACAATAGCGTTGCTAGGCAGGAAATGGGATCGTTTCATAGCGATACGGAAGTCACGACGATAGATACGTCGGTAATGTCGGTAGAGATTCTTTCGGTACGGGAACACGGTTATAAATAAAGATAAACACTCTGGAATAATGACTCGTCGATATTTAATATTATCTTTTATGACAATTACGTGGATCGAGTTTTCGAAGATGCGCATAAAGAATCCCACTGTGAACAATTACGATGTCGGCAATTTATAACGGAAATACTAGAAATAGCAAAGTTGCTCGTTAATGCAACGCGGCGTGGACGTGTTACTGGACAATGCTATGAGGAAGACGAGATCGTTTTGCGATGATAAAGAGGAGGGGGATTGGCTAGGACGAGAAGATCGACCGACCATGTGGTTACATTGTGGAGAAGAGGAGGCTGCACGAGAAACAGAGCTCGGAATCACGGTGCACGAACAAGCTTACCGTGATTTTCACAGTATCGATTACGAATGATTTACGTTGTCGTTTCTTTCGTACTGACGCGATAGTGTCCTGCGCACGCGATCATACGTAACTACGTAAGTGCTCGCGTTGGTCAGATTTCGCGGTCAAGATTATCGTCAAAATTAATGGATTACCATTTAACCTCTACGTTGCTTTATCTTTCGTTTCAACTTTTTCTATTTCTTTTTTCTCTTTGTTACTTAACTTATTTATATTCGAACTCGTTGCAACTTTTCATCGCCATTTATCAGTATTCCAAATTAGGTTAAAGAGAATCATCCTATTCTATGTATATTCTATGTATAGGTAATTGTACGTGAAGAATCGCCGATTCATTTATGTATAACCAATGAGCACGTGAATCATGAATAAAGCAAACAGCACGTGTAAAAATATAAGTTCCGGTTCTGGATTATCCGTCGATTATTCATAGGCATGCTCGCGCGGATTAGTCGAGTCGTGAAATTGTCGATCGACTACCGTGAAAATTTCAAAGTACATCCTACGTGATACGTGATCTTCTCTAAATGAAAGTTGGTGAAAAACTATCTTCGGTATCGATAAAACATTAGCGATAAGCGACTTAATTATCTTACCTCGAATCAAATATTTTCAAATACCAGACGATCTCTATTATATTGTTGCAACCACAACGTCCAACCAATTCATCCAACCTACCGTTTTTCCGCTCGTGTCTCCAGGAATAGCGGCTAGGAAACAAGAACAAAAGCCGCAGTCCCGTACATTGTTCATTTTATTTACGAGCCACGGTTTATTCGTATCAAATCGTTCCGGTTCGTTAAACAGATCCTTATTCCACTGTTATCGATCTCAAAGAGAGTTGGAGTTGCGAGTCGGTCGTGTATATCCCTCTCTTTCTCGGCTTCTCGTTTCGTGGACAAAAATCCAAGGAGCACCAGCATCCACCCGTGGTCGGTGTGCATCCTTGCCGTGGTTCACCGACCCGCATATTTCTCCTCCTTCTCCTCCTCTCCCCCACCCCTTGTCACACTCGCTCCTTCCCTTACCTCGTTCACTTCTCGTTGGAGGAAGCGGCGGCGCGCATCCATTGTGCACCATCCTCCGCATGCATGCATGCATGCATGCATGCATGCACGCGTGCACGAGCTTGGCTGCGCGAGCCGTACAACTTCTACGGGGATATAATTTGATCTACATTGTTCGCCAATCGCCCCCTGGCCAGACTGGTCACTCCAGTTATTGCCATAATTGATTCACTTAATCGCGCTCGTGGGAGTGACGGACACCTCCTTCGGCCTCCCGTCTATCAATCTCGCACGTCCCATTCGAAACGATTCCTTCTTCGTCTCGTCTTCTTTCAACTCCTCTCGTCGTCGTACGCGTGAAAGTTATCGTCCAATTCTTTCTTCTTTCTTTCTTTCTTCTTCCGCCATTAAATTGGAACCACGTCTTGAAAGGTTCTAAGACACGTTCTACTTAGAAACAGAAATTCAATTTAGATACACGCATGCGCGTATCGTAGCCAAGTATTAATAGATATCATTCGATAAATGGTGATTGTCGTAATTTCGGAGAGTTTACGCTCGTAAAACGCGCTTATCTCGGACTCGTATTCGGTTATTAGCGTGCTTTGACTCTGCAACGAAGCAGGAAGAAGCGTAACTCGTTTATTACACGGAAAAAGGGTATAATATTGGCGATGTTCGCGGCGTCTTTGAGGGAGAAGCTGCGGCTGACCAGGAAGACCGTTCTTCTATGATACAATGCGTATCGGCCTATCTCGTTCACTTTGTAAATTTGATTCTTTTGGATTCAGGCGAATTACCGTCGCAGCCGAACGGTATATCGAATCGTTCGCTTCGATCGGCCGTGATTCCAGCAAATTGTATCCTGCGGAGAAGCCTGGCTCGATCGTTGCGCGACAGAGATGTCCTAGGCACGTGTATTTTTTTTTTTTTTTTTTTTTTCCCTCTACGATACGAGAGGAACGGATACGAATATGAGATAGAAATATATATTTCTGATCAGTGAAGATTTTGACAAATGATTGTACGTTATTATTCACATACATGAAATTTAATAATCGATAAAATGTTCATTCAAGCATTTATATCGTAATTAAAATTTTTATTAGTTTTTTAAGTTAAGTTAACGATGTTTCACGTTCGAAATAACTTTTTTCGGAATTATTTATTTAAATTATTTAATATGAAGTATTTGCTTGCTAATAATTGAATGTGTCTTTCGTTGATTCTTATTAGATATTATTGCACTGAACGTGACGATCTTTCGATTAATTTTCTTATTGGTTCTTGCGATAATTTCTTCTGAATATTAAACTTCCACAAATATCTTTCGAACAACGAGATCGATCTATTGAGTTTCGTAAATTTTAATTATATCATTGTATTTGTCATTTGTATGAAAGATAAATTTTATTATACTTACGATATTATACTTTGAGAATGATGGAATAGATCTTTTTTCTAAACGAAACTTAACCTACATTTTTTTACAGAATAAAAAGTAGTTTGAATATTTTTTGAACACAATTTATACATGCTATAAGTAAATTGTTCTAATTGTTTATTTGACATTATTATTATCCTTAAACATTAATAAAATCTCTATCGATCATTACTTTAACAAGTTTCACAATTTATTTCTCTTAAAAAAAAAAATAATAATAATAAACAGTGTATTAACCTCTTAATTTATTTAGAAAAAAATAAAAAAAGGAATTAAACTTACTTAATTACTTACCATATTTACTTATTATAACTTAATATTTATTTTTACGTTCCACACGAAATTCCTCAAACTTTTTCACTTGATTTTTTTCCCGTTATTTTAAGACTCTCTACGCTAAAAAATAAAATGGATATTCGTATTCTTTCCTCTGTAAATAAAACTGCAGATAAATTATCGAATCGCATCGATTAAGCACGTATATTATTAGCTAGTTGGTAACAACCAGAACCAAAGTGTACCGGTGTTGCAGATCGTGCTTACCTGCTTTGCATCGCGCGTTTTGCAACCGTTTAACGCACGTGTTGGAGACTGGCAAAGATGCAAATTTTATACCTGCGTTTATCGATTAGTCGCATGAACGAGATTCGTTTAAATTACGTACAACGATTCGTGAATACGTTCGAAGATATTATTTTACAAATTGATTCGAAAATTCTGATACACAGATCGCATACAGTAGAATCAAAGTCGTCGACATTTTTAATACACAATTTCAAAATTGTTTTTACAACAGGCTGGAATGGAACGTTAAATTCTGAACATTTTATAATTCAAAATTTTGCTTTATTTTAACCGTCTGTCAAACAGAAAGTTGCATCTAAATTAAAGGATTAATCTTTGTGCATCGGTTCAAAAAAAGAAATTGCTTCGAGTATCCATTGTACGATCACCAAATTTATCTCATTAAAACGTACGGTAAAACGGTGTTCGAACACTTGCCAATGTATGCATATCGATACGTATCGCCACGATATCGCGCCAGTATCTTTAACTGTACACCCTGATTCTATAATTTGTTACATATTATGCGAGCCGGTGTAGAACGGCCGTAGTAAATCCTGTGTGCTGTTGACCCGACGATCACTGGACCGAAACCAAGCCGGCGGACCCGGTGTGTTGCAGAGATATCCGCGGCAACGCGGGTCAACAGGAAGTAATTAAAGTTTCGACAGAATCTCTCCCGGGTTAACCTCGCCATTACCGGTGGTGTTGGTCGCTGTGGAAAAAAAAAAAAGAAAAGAAAATGAAGAGAAAAAAAAAATCGCAGGACGAATTCTCAAACGGACGAAGGCGATCTCGCCTTCTTCCTTCCGGTTTGCTCGATTATTTTTAACTCGACCTTTCACGCTCCCGCGAGATGAACGCGCGCTCCCCGCAATCTCCACGCGCAGATCCGCTTTTTCGAGGCGATGCATCGCACGCCGAGCAGCAACGATCCAGGCTCCGATTACCAATCTTTTCTTTCGATTCCTCGCCACTGTATTTATCTTGTGCCAGTCACTTTCCTTCGCGCGTTCAATCTTTCCATTGTATCATGTATCTCTACCTCTCGTTCAAAATGAAAAAAAAAAAAAAAAAAAAAAAACCACCATAAACTGCGTAACGATATTTACAATACTCGTAATATTTAACGATCGATCGATGAAAAAGAAAAAAAGTCGAACCGCGCGTGTTCGATATTTTCTTTCCTCCTAGAGTATCGAAGATTGAAGAAAAGATCGATTAATTTTTTTCTCGATAATATTTTATAAATATTGTGCTCGACGAGAAGAAAAGTATTCGCAAAAAAAAAAAAATTAAAACGCGCGTTATATTCGATACTTACTTTCCTGTCGAGCGAAGATTACGAAAAAATTGATTAATTTTTTTTTTGCCTACGCAGATTTAGCGAACGGCGCTTGCCCACGAATATGTCCGCCAAGCGGAGAGCCAGTATGCGGTAGCGACGGAGTGATCTACGCGTCTCAGTGTGAAATGCGGAAGAAGATGTGTGGAAAAGGTAAAAGGGCCTGTTTTAACTACGTAATAATAATTATGATTGGACGGCGCGTACGTTGCTTGCTCGTTCACCTTCGTTTACAACGTCCGCCGCGTTTCTTACGCGTTTCAAATTCTCATCCCTGGGATACTATTTAAGAATAGACGCATGTGACGCGTACCGAAGGCAGCGATAATTATCGACACTGAACGAATTACGCAGGCGTGACCATTGCCACGGAGAAGACCGCTTGTCTAAGATCGTCCGGAAGTAAGTGCGAGCATCGATGCCCCGGCGATCAGGATCCCGTATGCGGAACCGACGGCCGTACCTATCTCAACAAGTGTATGCTCAGAGTGGAGATTTGCAGAGTCGGTATCGAATTGTCGCATCTGGGCCCTTGCAACAACATCTCGGCGCACAGGGAAAACTGTCCTGTCTCTTGCGATTTTGCACCGCTCGACGGGCCCATCTGCGGAAGCGATGGCAACGTTTACAAATCCACGTGTCAAATGAAGTTACTCACCTGCGGGTACGTCTCTTCTTTATCATCTCTGCCAGGATAGATCGGTACGGTTTCGATTTTTTTTCTATCAGACAAGGCGTCGTGCGCACGAACAAGAAGCATTGTCAGACCACGAGGCATTGTCGTGAATCGTGTTGGCGCGGTGCCAAGCCAGCCTGCGGTAGCGATGGAATCCTTTATTCGAATACCTGTAAAATGCGAGCAAAGAATTGCGGGTAAGAAACGTGATCCTTGATTAAATTGAGGCGGCAAGCCAAAATTATTCGTTTTTTCTTTTCTTTTTTTTTTTTTTTATACCTGATCGATCGTTTAGCAAACACGTGTTCGAGGTGCCGATGTCATATTGCGTGTCGCTCGAGCGGACATCTGGCGGCCAAACCAACGCTTGCCCCTTGGATTGCAAAAACGAGCCAGAAGTGCCAACCTGTGGATCAGACGGGAGTATATATAGGAACGAATGTGAGATGCAAATGCTTAATTGCGGGTTAGTATGGCCAATTTTAATTAAATATCATCTTGTGGACTGTTTATAATTTCGTTATTTACTTTTTTTGTTTTTTACGTTTCATTTCTCAGGCAAGCAAGAAGGAAAGTGACAGTGGTAGATTTTGAAAAATGCAAAAGCCGTTTGACTAAATGCACGAAACAGCAGCAAAGGTGCGGAAACGATGTGGATCCGGTTTGCGGAAGCGACGCGAACACGTATCCGAATCAATGTCACTTAAATGTGGCAGTATGCTTGTAAGTCGTGAGAGATAATCATTTCTCAAAGAAGATCCATTCAGAGATAAATATTAAAGATTAATCGTTGATTCTTGATACGTTGTTATCGTTGCCTTTCAGGAAGGGCATTCAATTGGCTCATGTTGGAGAATGTACGACCTTGAAAGAAACCGAACAGTGCCCCGAAGATTGCAGCGAGGTACCCGAGGAACCAGTTTGTGGAAGCGATGGCAACGTTTATCGGTGATTAAGAACGCGTTATTTAAATTCCAGGACATTTGCCGTTTCAAGACTTTTTTCTTTAGGAAATTGCGAATCACAAATTATTTTCTATCATTCTTATATATTATATTCTTTTGATAAATATTTTTCTTCGATGTTAGTTTTTAGTATTAATTACATTCATAAATCATACTCGTATGTTTTTAGATCTCTTTGCCATCTACGACGCGAGACTTGTGGTCAGAGGGTGGTTCAAGTGCCAGCGCAACATTGCCGTACTACCGCGCTTTGCAATCAAATCTGTAGCGGAGAACGCCAATTTGTTTGTGGTTCTGACAACAAACTTTATCGTAACGAATGTGAGATGAAAAGGGACAATTGTGGGTAAGCAATAATTGCCTTTTTGATCGATTAAGTAGGTGAAATATGCATTCGGTAATGATAAAAATCCAAATGTTCCAATTAGGAAACACGTGTATGTGGTGCCCATGAAGAGATGCGTACAAGGCTTCTTATTCCGTGGTTGTCAAAAAATTTGCCCACCCTATTATGATCCTGTTTGCGGTACCGATGGTATGACTTACAGCAACGAATGTTTTCTGGAAATCGAGAACTGTCGCAGTCGAAGCATAGTCACGAAGAAGTATCATGGCGTGTGCGGTCAACCGACTGAAGAACCTAAGAACTATTTGTATTAGTTTCATCGAATTCGATCTATTCGCATTTTTGTTGTCTCTTTTTCTATCTCTTTTTCTCTTCAGAAAAATATTTTCTTAAAATATGATCGATACTATTTTATGTAATCGAATCAAATTTTTCGAGTAATTTTTATATCTGTTTTTTTTTTTGAAACAGAATTTTAGTACCATTTTCTTTTTCGAGAGAAAAATTATTCGACCGAGACTGAATTCTCTTAAATTACTCATTTGAACAACGTTGTAATTCGTAGACAACAAGTAATTTTCACACATTTGACAGCCCTTATCGTACGCGCAAGTATCCATGAATTATCAAATTTTTATATTTATTTCATATTTTTTATATATTGAAAATGATGGATTCTTGCACGATACATATATTTTACATTCATAATAGGAATTTCGCGACGCTAAATTATGCGTTTGTGTAATTTGTTCGATATCTTCGCACATTACTCGCTGATTAATTCATTTTTATTTATTTTAGTATTCTTAATTATCATATCATCCTTTCATCATTTATCGCTAATACTACGTAACACGAACAATTCCAAAATGCATTTATATTCCAATTATTATAAGAAAGTACATATTTAACTATTATATGTACGTATATCCCTCTTTCTGACATGTGATTTTTTTATACCATAATTATCTAATCATTGTATACTTTTATTTATTCAATCAAACATTTGACAATCATTTTTTGTATCAATATTAATATACATGCTTCAAGTGTCAATAATAAACTATATATGGATATTTTTAGGTAAAAAAATGATGTAATTATTCAACAATATTCTCTACATCGATAAAATAATTGCCAAAATAAGCAACAGTAGATAAATAATTTAATTTAAAACGATATTATGCACGAATACTGATAGATGGCGTTAATATTTACATCGATGAGATTGCCGTAAGATGGCAGTAATATTCGCTGATATTGACAGGTGCTGAAGGAATATGGCGGCCAGTGTTTACGACAACTGATCGAAACCGATCGAATTTACGGATGAGTCGTGTGCTTCGTGTATTATTTACGATTTCTCTCCCGACACAGTGTTTTCGTTGATCTTTGAATCGTATGCTAACCATCCGTCTATTTTTCGTTAAAATAATTGAGTGTAAAGTTGATCCGATTAGTGAAACGAGCTTCTCGATCTCGAAACTTTGAGATCAGGTGGTGGATTTGTCTTTGATACAGAAGTGCTTCCGAAGCGGATCACTGGAATATTACGGGATTCGTCGTTATCGTAAGTACCGATAATTAATCCTTATTTTATTTTTGATCGAACAATTGAAGGATCGTAATAGAAATGAAGTATAGTCAGTTAAATAACGTGTGGAAAACTGATAAGCGAAAGACAGAAGTGGCCATCTTTGAGCCTCCCTGTGTGTTAGTTACACCGGCGAAAAAGGATCACGATTACACGAATCGTGTTACATAAAATGATGCTGCAGTCGGATGACACATGGAATGCCTTGAATAATCATTATGTGAGAGGAAGGTTTTCCTTCTTCCGTGTATCTTACTATCCTGTTCCTATCTTCTGGAAGTTGTCTTTAATCTATGCGTGTATCATCTTCGTATCATCTTCTATTTATCTTTATTTTCGATTTTTCGATATTGGCAAACTTTCATTCGAATGTTTAATTACATATATGGAAATAGGTCATACTTTAATTTCATCGAACCATAATTTGTTTTATTATATTTTTTATTTTTATATGAGAGGGAAAAGGAATATTGTACTATTATTATAATTTATCAATTACAATAACGCGAAAAATACATGAATATTAAAATATCGATATTGTATATCGAATTAAAAATCATTAAATCGAACCTATCATGATAAACCCGATACTAAATATTTTGAGATGCGAGTTTTTATAACGCTCAAAATCGCGCGCTTTCATAAAATTACAATTGCAGAGTAGAAAAATTGTTTGATGTAAATGATATATAATTGCAAACGGATTAATCATAATCCAGATCTCTCGATATATTTACCGATCTTTCATCCATTTTTTATTATCTTATCATTTATCTTTGCATGACTTGACGATTTTGTGATGATGATACCAAGTTAAGAATTTCAGCAATCAGAGAAAGAATGAATGTCGCATGTAATTAAATTTATCGATCGTTTCTCTCACTTCACATACTTACTACACTTCGTATACTCGTCGCGATTATTCTTTTTGTATTTAAAAATTTGCGACGGTTCTTGTACATCGTATCGTTTTTACCTTTACGTATACCTGGTTTTTGAAAGGAAAAAGGAATAATATTGTTATCCTTCATTTGCCTATCGTTTTGAGACTTTTATTTGGAAGAATGTGGTAAAAGCAATATCTATCGATTTCTCGAAGAAATTAAAACATAATCATTGTTCGATAATCCATTATATGAGATAAATTTAACTAAAAATAAGATTATGTTATATTATATATAATTTTTCCTTATCTGGTTATAATTCATTTTAGGGAAAATTCTGTTTCATCGAACTCAGAAATAGAATAGAAAGAGAACGTTTAATGGTGAAAAAAAAATTTTATATAAATTCATTGATTGGATCGTCGAGTTAGGCTGCGCTCAATACACAAATGAAAGCAGCAATCGAGAAGTCGTCCTCGATCAATCGTAACGGCACCTTGTCTCGTTCTTCTTTATTAAATGAATTTCCTAGCAAGTTGACCTACAGATTACTTTTGCACTTCCAATTGCCACGTATCGTCATCGTCTGTTATTGTACACACAGACACACACACATATATACAATTTATTCGAATTTCTCATATAAGAGAATGTATGATATATTACGTATATCTATTATATCCATTTACGATAAAACAATGTAATATTTTGACGGATACATCTTTATAGACAATAATGTCGACATCGTTGAAATTATTTATCGAATACTCTATATAAAAATGAAAATACTACATTGCAATAAGAAATATTATATCAATAAATATATATTATCTATTATGCTCTTTTGCATTAATTCATCGCGATTAAATATCGAATGAAGAGAGAATTGTATCCTTTTACATATTACATACGTATATTATATACGTATATCGTAATTATACGATCTTTCGTGATAGAAATAAGTTTTGATTACATATCGAAGCTGACGAACGGATTGACTATTTGCTTTCTGACAAAACTAAGGAAGTCAATTACAAATTCTCACGTGCATTTTCATGAAATTAATCGTATACATATATAAGAGCCCCCTCGATTCGAAATAATCTATTGTGTTTTAATGGTCATGTCACACGCTCTCGAGCGTTGAACAACGTAAATCGACCTCGAACCGGATCTCACATCCGTTCTTTTTTCTTCTCTCTCTCTCTCTCTTTTCTTTTTATTCCTTTCAGGAAGGGTAATATGGAATTAAATAGGGGTGGCGGGATCTCGCGTGTCTCTGCATGTGTATGTAAATCCTATTCTGTGCTCATAAACGGACCGAAATGCACCGTCTACGAGTATTCAACCGGTACACAAGAGAGATAAATTTCTCTTCGAGTGGCGCATTGTGTCGTAATAAAAATTCTTTTGACGGCCGTTTAAAGAAACACAAAAATAATAGGAAGCGTGTTTTATCGAGCGCAATTTCTATCGTGGTCTCGTACCCCCTCTCCTCGCCTCTCGACTGGTGACTCGTACAAGAAATAACGTGCAAAATGTTACGCGTTCAGCAAATTTTTTTTTTACGCGATAACTCATTCTTCTGCTTATATATATATATACACACACACACACACATAAATACCTGTTTTTGGGCACGCGTAATCGAAATTTAATGGTTTCTTTCAAACGTTTCTTTCACGTCTCACCCTACCACTTTTTCCACCCAAATAGAATCCTCCTACGTAATCAAAATTAATTCATTTCGATATTCGCTTCGTTTTCGCTTTCGCTTTCGTTTTTTCTTTTTTTTTTTTTTTTTTTTTTTTTATTCTTTCATTCGACCAAAATTTGTAATTGTTGGTTACACGCGTAGCAGTAATCGATATTCCAAAATCTTTTTCTTATCTCGGTCTAGAGCGTTACGGAATCGTGGTGCAAAGTGGAAACACAGGACTGTGGCCTACGTAGTCCACTCGGTACGGTTCTCATTCGTTTCCGGTCACGCGATTCTGCCCTTAATTAATCGTGACGTCGAGGACGTACGCTAGATTTTCTTCTTCCTCGATTTTTTTTCTTTCTCATTTTTTTTTTTAATTTAATAAGCGAAGCGATAAAACCACGAAATCTACGAAAATGCGTGTCGTTATCTCACATTACGGGATGCTTTATTTTCATGGGCGAAACCGGAAGCTTCGGGGTGCACGACACTATTGCCACTGTTTATCCTTCGCGATACGTTATCTTATCCGCTAGTCCTTTACCTCTGTTGTCCACATAGATAAAGTCGGCTAGACGTAAATTCTTTCTGTGTCTCTTTTTCACTGTTTTTTTTTCTTTCGTTTATTTCTTCTTCTTCTTCTTTTTCAGATTTTGAACGAGTAAAGACGTAAGTAATAAATGAATTACAGGGAAAATTCAAGAGTCGTATTTTTGTAAAGTTGGTTGGGATAAAAAAAAAAAAATTGATGGAAATCGCACGTACGACGAATCGAGCTTCCGGTAGAAATAATTTTGCAGTCGGGGTAGTGTTTTAATACTGGATGATAGCCAAGATGATATCGGTAATTTTACCACGGTAATTAACGCTACTTGCCGATAAAAATACCAAGGATTCGCGTTTCTCTTTTCCGGTAGAGTTTGCGAGATAGAAGAGCAATTAATTACAAGCCTCGTTAATCAGTAATCCCATTGTATATACGTGCTCGTCCATTTTTATGCGTATGCATGTGTATTAACCTCGTTTAGATCTGTCTACTTTATCGACTTATACTAATCGTTCTGTCATCCGAATATCGTTTCGATACAGTTATTTTTTTTTTTTTTATTTATTTTCTACTTTCTCTCAATTTTCTATTTTCCTAAGTTTCGAGAAGAGAAACAAGAGAAAATAATTCTCCTCGCTAAGATTCTTCCATCGAAGCGTAAAAGCTAGACGAATAACGTCTGTGACTAGTCAGACGTACAGCCTACACATCATTTTTCAGTCTTCCTTATCGAACAGTTATTTCTTTTTTTTCCCCCCCCTTCTTCCTGCTAGTTTTTTTTTCTTCTTTTTTTTTTTACGTTTCCTTCTAATTTTTAACCCTTTCTTCTACATTTCTCGTGTTAAAGTTAATTGCAAATCTTAATAAATTCAATTCGATGTTATTTGATTTTCTACCCAATTTCAACGAGTTAGAATAATAATGCATGATCGTCGCGCATGCGCGATGAAGTAAGTTAACATTCTCGAAAGTCTGGTTATCGAGGCAATTTAACGAAAATTAGAGAGCCACGATTCGTTTTGACCATACAGCATGATTTAGTTACCGGCCAATTACGCTACTTTCATTATATATAAAGTTTTCCCGTGGAACAAGCAGCGCAAAGCGGCCAGACAGCCGTCTGGTTCCTGGTTTTCTTCTTCCATGATCGTACACACGAATCTACATATGCGCACATATGTACGTACCTATTAACCATTGTGAGCAACCACGTGAGAAACGACGAGCTCGTTTTGCTTCATCCATGTCTTTATCCCTATTATCCTTTAACATCTTTTTCCAGCATGTTTAATGCCACGTATTGACGTTGACCGCGTGAAATCTTTCTGCCTTTCCTTCTTTATTTTCGTTACCATCGTTACATATATATATATATATATATATATACTTATCGTAGAAAATGTTTTATACGCAGTGACTCAACCATCCTCGAATGTCGACAAGCTTATTGCACGAGATAAAAATTAATACGCGATGTTCATTGTTACGAAATTAAGAATTCCTGTTCGAGTAATATAACCGATTGATGGAATCACGAGCGCCCTCTGTCCAATCCTCGCGTTCATATACGCGAGATCTCGGTTTGTGGTTGAACTTTAATGAATTTCAATTGATTCGTCTTCTCTCGTTTAGAAGAGCACACGGTGGTGTCGCTGTGCTAAGCACCGCGACGTGGGTCGGTTTTATGAGACGGACGTGACTCTACCGGTATCTTTTCTCAGATGTACGATTTCTATGCAGTTTTGGTCCCGCTTGGTTTACGATTCCTTCCGTTTATGATCAGGATAAGGCAAGACACGAATCATAAATTTCGATGACTCGCTTCCCTCTTTCTTGCCGGTATTGTAATTATTATAAACGGATGTGAATGTCAGACTTTTATCCCGGAAATCGAATCGTGCGATATCTATTGTTATTCGTGAGTAACTAAGTGCAAATTAGATTAGGTTAGGTTAAGTGTGCGCATGTGCTAATGGCACGTGCCAACTTTCCTACTTGCTAGAGATTTTTGCGATCGAAATAAACAACGTAATGCTAAAAGAAATGCATATAAGTATAAATCGTTGCTCCTACGAAAGAATATGGTGTGTTAAGAAGGAAGTGTTTGCCGAGAGATATTTGCTGATCGTTCAAGTCGCGGAATGAAAACACAGCCAAGTTTCCATACTCTACTTTATATGTACTACGACATTACCCCGTTAGAAAAGACAAGAAGATGTCACATTGTTTTTCTTCCTTGGCTTTTGTTCCTTCGGCTCGTCATTCTTGTGCGATAGATGCACACACAAGTGTGCTTCTTTCTAATTTCTTTTTATACATCACTCTCTTGTATTTCCATCGTTCCAAAGGGTCCTCTCACTATGGAAATTGCACCATTTTAAACTTCTATATGCATACATAAGTGCCTATATACATGCGTACATATGTATACGTACGAATACAGTGTGGAGCAAACTTTTGCGAACAATAGCCTTTTTCTTTGTGCTGCCTTTAAGCAAGGTAAAGTTGACGTGACATTGAAAGTTCAAAGTTCAAACGAATATTTCTGTTTTCTTAGAAAGTCGAAGAAAATATTTCATATTTTGCTAGGTTGTGAAAATGTTAAAGATTATTGAAGATCGAGATGAAAAATTTCGATTATTAATATTAAATTATTAGTCATTATTTTCCAAAGAATCAAATATTCGAGTATTGAAATTCAAATTTAACAATTGTAAAAAATATCTTTTTCATTTGTAAAAAAGAAATCGTGAAATTTATACACGTAAATATAAATATAACATCTAGTAGAAAGTACGAATTACTTGACATTATTTGACCGCTCGTAAAAAAGCGCCCCCTTTCAGATTCGAATAACAATAGCATCTATCGTGTTTCCAAGTCGAAGTTTTGAAAAAGCTTTTCACTTTACACCTAACAATATATGGGATCACTAACATCGGAGAACAAACATCAAACATTTGCGGATTGAACCGCGATCGATATTAATTTACTCGCAACGAAAGTGGTTCTCTGATTTTACCGCTCGATTCTCAATTTCAATTATTGACCGTGTTCCATTGGGTTACGTAAACCATGTTGTCTTACTTGCCAAAAGTATTCCAATCGTTTTAAACAATTTTTCGTAATAATTGTTCGATAAGCTCGAAGGCATTGTGAAAAATTATTAACACGTTGTTTGCAAAACGTGACAAAATTCGTGATTAATTAATGATAAAAAAAAAAAACAATAGAAAAGATAAATTAGGTTAGGTATATGCGAGATCGTTAAGCCAACACCTGACGTGGAAAATGTGATCACATCGCATCGAAGTCGGACTACCGCTGCGATATTCAAGGATCTGAGTGTCGTTCACGCACACTTTCTTCGTTCATGGATAAACAAATGATCAAGCGACCCTAAGTTAAAAAAAAAAAAAGGTAGAACGCGCTTGTTTATCGGAGAGAGAAGAAAGATGGAGGCGTGAAGTTCGTGAACAAGAGAACGAAATGTGTAGTCAGTGAAGAGAGAGAATGACGCATGGTGGTGCGAGAACGAGAAGGAAGAGAAGTCTGTTGCGCGTGAGTGCAAGGGAACGAATGGAAGAGAGTGACGGAGAAGGAGAGATAGAGAGAAAAACAGAGACGAAGAATGAAGTGCGTGCGCGTGTCGTATTCGAGAGAGACACGGTAGCTTCTCATAGAGAAGAGACAGTTGCTGGTTTGCCGTAAGGCTGTTTGCATCGAAGAGGCGAAAGTTACACCAAACGGGGTCCACACCCCATTTTTCGTCCTTCATCGTGTTTCGTTTCATTTTTTTTTCTTTTGGTTTTCTTATTATACGATGTTTCGTTCCACGCCATTTAGCTCGGCGTGATCGACTTATCGAGACGACGGATGTCGATCGACTGTCGCGCGATTTCGCGTCGAAACGTGCTACCGATTACGCGGAACGTCTTACGAAGGCTCTATAAGCAGTGGTTGTGATGTGTTGGTGTGATTATTTGCGTTGATTGCGATCGTCCAAGGTAAAAGACGATCATCCATTTTCATCGTGGACGCGATCTTGACATGGAAATTAACGGGGTTTGTAATGGGGTCGTGAGAATCGGTCAAGTGTCGATCGAAGTATAATTTTGGAAAGATCGTGCGTAACGATGGAGAAAATGTAGGTGAAAAAACATGGCAAATTAGCATGTCGGTGGGAAAAAACGATTGAAAATTAATAGCGTTATGATTACCATGTGTATAGTTGAAGCAGCTTCGCCAGAGCCAGAAGTTCTTGATTGGTGCAGCAACCGGGTTCCATGACTTGTTCCGAAAATAATCATCGTATTTTTACCATCTCTTTATGCCCACTTCGGTGCCGCTGGAAGCCGCGTAAAGTGGCGTTAATTCGACGTGAAGCAATACAAACGTTGTCACGCCTTCGTCATTCCAACGAGAAGATGCAATTGTTCGTCATTGTTTTCGTTCTTATAAAGTGATCGTCAATTTTGTTATCATAATCCCATTACAAATTCTGTTAATTTTATCAAAGGATATTTTGATTTTCTTCGAAGAACATCAAAAATTCAATTTCTACTTAATTTTTTCCCGACGAAACAGCGCTAATTTTTTAATGTTCACGATCTACTCATGACCTACTCGCGTGGTGACATATTGCCGTATATGACATGTATATATATATATACGTATATATATGTCGTCTGTCGTCCGATCTTCGATAAACGCTGCTTCCTCGTAGCCTTATCTGAGCTTTCTGTCACGCGAAACTTTCGCCACCACGGCATCCAACTATTTATTTGCTCGCATTTCACCCAGGCACAATGCACGTCCGCCAATGTCCACGTATATACATATATATACTCGAATGAATACCTTTTCGCGACACATGTATAGAAGTTCGTCGTCACTTGGCTTTTCACGCGTTGGAACACAATTGAGAAAGTAAAATCGTAACATCTTTCGATCGATGATCGATGTATCTAGAATTTTTTCGAGGATTTCGATTTCTCACACTGACCGATTTTCATAGATTATGCGTAACGGGAATCTTCCATAGTATATGGTTGAATGATAAAATCGATGGATTAATCGATTCGACTTGGAACGAAACATTCTCGATTTGTTTCGTTCAATCTGTCGCATCACTGAAACGAAACTGGGAGAAGAAAAAGAAGAATACGATTGGCGGAAATGTCACGGAATTTAAGATTTCTTCTTACGTGTTCCATTCGTTATATCGAAGTTATTTTGCTTTAGCTCATCCACCTCTCGGAAGAATGACTCATGAAGCGCATTAAGTAAAAAAAAAAAAGTGCCAACCAAAAAAAGCTTTTATTCTACCGAAATAAACACATCTTATGATTCTATTGCGTATATTTTTGCTATTCGGTCAATTCGAAATTTTATCCTCATTCTTGATTCATCGATGACTAAAAATCGAAGCTCATAGATTAAACGAGCGAAAAAGAAGGTCGATCACCTCGCTCAACCATCGAATTATTTATACTCGATATTAGATTTTCACTTCTCGTTTCATAGCCTGTTATTCTTCGTTCTATCTTGATTTGATCGAACGATCCACACTCTCTTTCCACATTGAACTCACACATACACACACACACACACACTCTCTTTTCTCGACTGAAGTGACACCGTATATACCTGGCCAGGAATTCGGTGAAGGAGATACATTTTTCCTTCAGGAAGATTGGCGATCGGTGCAGGTGAATGAATCCTTGCGATTCGCATTTGCCTCTTTAGCCTGTCCATCGACCCTAACTAGCTATTTATATACACGAGCTTCTTGTCTCTGTGCTCGTTCCTGTGCTTCTGCGTATCTATCTTGAAAAGATAGGTATAGTATAGATCTGCGCATGTTCACGCACCGATGAGTCCGTTAACTCGCTCGCTCGTGACCATGCGCAATCACTTATAAGCAACGAAGATATCGATTTATAGAAAATAGAATATACGAAATATAGAATATTTCGTATCGATTAAACTCGTTGTAAAAACGAATCGGTTTCAACATCTATAATCATATTTTATTCCGAATCGCGTGATTCAGATCAGCGTTTCACAGGATCTCTTTTGAAAAAGAACATGACTTTTTCTGATGCATCGTTAAATAATATAAATAATATTTACCATCGATCGATCCATTTTCTATGCTCGTTTTTATATCGTATATTTTTTTTCCACTAAATCTAAATCCGTGGCAAGAAAGCAAATGAAAGAAAAACGATGTTTCTCCACGACATCATTTGGATATCATAGACTTTTCTTCCGATGGTGATTGGCAAATTAAATCCGCGAAAATACTCGAATTCGGTTTTTTCGTACGTTCGTACATTTTTTTTTTTCCTCTCGTCACCCTTTTCTCGTCGCGTCGTCGAGGAACGAGGCAGGGCACGTTCACGAAGGAGGAACAATTGCCGATGTTCCATCCGTTGAATCACCTGTCAATAGCCGTCGAAAAAGGAAATAGGAGTAAGCGCACCGTGCTCACCGCCATGTTGGACCACCGTCGTCACTCGGCAAATATGCTCGCCGCATAATTATTAAGGGCGCAGCTGCGAGATGGCACGTACACCTTTTTTCAAAACCACCGCTATGCACCTCCGTCACACGACTATGTATTCCTCGCGTGTATACAGTATTGGTTGGAACGCGTCCGCAGCCAGGGACCGGAAGTGTCGCGATACGCCATCCGCAACGTCGTTTATGGTCACTGCATATCGTTCTCCGATCGTGCAATTTACTCATAATGGTCGTTTCGTGTTTTCTTAACTTTACAAATTAGGTAAAATTCTTGAGGAAAGAGTAGCTATGGTATTAACCTAAGAGTAACACTACCTAAACCTCTGAAGTTACTATATCGTACTGTTGATACAAGGGGAATATCTCACGACGAATTCGACTTCTTTTTAAACAAAATATTATCGAGTTTTAATTATATAAATTATTTTCCTTCCTTTTCTTCCCCTATAGTGGAACCCTACAAAGTTTCTAGCTTCAAAACCGACCATTGTTATTGAAATCCTTCTCGACAACGGTTTACAATTAATCCTCGTACGATGAATCGTCTCGCTTCTTTATCGTACCCGTTGATTCGTAGATCGACACACCGCGATCGAATACGTACGTAAGTCGGTAGTCCGTCGAATGCGCGCGTGGTGGCGCGTGTGAAAGTAACGATGCGGTGTCGTACCGTTTCGAACAGGGACGGAACGCATCCGAACCAATTGCCCATTGTTCCGCGTATCGCACGCGAGCGGTTGGTTCGATGAACTTGGAGATACTTTTGTTCGCGTGAATCGTAACGCGGCGCGAACCTATCGGTTATTTTATTTATTCCTCGGCTCGTTTTGTTCGGGAGGCCGCTTTTGCCGTTGCTCGATACACGAGCGCCGCATTTATCATCCGTTCTATCGAGCCGTGCGAAAAGGAGAGAGCGCCGGCCGACGTGAATTAACTCGTTGATTCACGTCCTCATAATTTTCCGCCGTCTCTTTAAAATTTAGTCTTACGAGAGTCGTATATGTCGTTGCATTCGTCAAATTTAAATATTGTCGAGCAAACGGATATATTCAATTCCTTTTTTTTTTTTTTTTAAGATTTTGTAAGATACTTGTAAATACTTGTACTTCAAATCGACGATATTAAGTCAATCGCGAGCATACTCGTATTCTAACACGATTTTTGTTATTAATAAATCTTTTTTCAGTCGTCATTTCTGTACACACGTTCGATTTTATTGCATGAAAAAAGAAAATAATACGGAATTTAGATAAATGTTGGAATTGCGAAATACATAAATACAATAATTTGGCGGCGAATTAGGAAGGGATCGCGATACAATAATAACACGTTACGTTTCGTGTAAATTCTCACGTCCACGTGGCTGTTATCTGTGTTCGCTTCGACACACGTAACAACGGAACGAACGAGCCGATAGGAAAAACGCTGGTTGATAAGCAGGATGATAAGGGATGATGCTCATTGTCGCGAACCGGATGACGCGTATAAGCAAGTACGTTCTACGTATGCTTGCGTATACGTACAGAGTTCAAGGCCGTCTCTCATCCACCGAACCGTGTAATTACTGAGAAAAATACTTTTGCGAAAATTCACGCACTTGGAGGAGGGAAAAAAAAAAAAAAAAAACGAAAACGAAA